CCTGGCTCCCTGGCTCCCTGGCTCCTCCCGGCGCGGGAGAGATATTGCTCGTCCGCCCACAGCCCGTCCATCACGCCACTTTGACCCATGTCTCGCGCTACATACTACTTATGTCTGTACATACTAAGTACCTGTGTCTGTTCTTAGTCCTGCCCTGTGAATAGTCGGCCCATGAGTGCTTCTGCATGTTGGCGCTCGTGTTAGCTAGGTAATCATCAAAAGTGCACACATGCTACTCATGAACCCAGTCTGCTGACATTTCCATCTCACATTTCATTGTGTGTGTGTGTGTGTGTGTGACTATCATTATACATACCAGAGACTGGTGCAACTGGTCCACGCCATCTTGTCAAGTTTAGAGCCCCCCGTGTTCCTCAGCTCTTCAATTCCCTCTCCGCTCGGATAATTCCATACTAGGCTCTCCCTTGACTTCAAAATCTGCCGTGACCCAGATGTTGCTAAGCTTGTTGTTGTTCCTTGCGCCTTGGCTGCTTGGAGTCCCAATCTTGATATAACTCGATGGATGGCGGCCTGTGCTCCCTGTCGTCTTGTAGCCTAATGTTGTCGTGTGAACTGCGCTGTTCGGACTGAGCGTCAGGGACGACTCGAGACTAACAAGAAACGGCTTAAGGAATGGTATCGTCGAGGTCATGATGCTGGTAACTTGAACAACCTGTCCACTAACTACTATGGGCCAGATGGTATTGAGCAGATTACTGTCCTGCAAGGAGAGATTGGAGACGAAAAAGATTTGGACGGCCGATGCTGCTACAACACTTTGTGTTTTGTCTGTCAGTGATTGCGGCCAAGTATTCCCATAAAATCAGGTAAACATACATCATGCGACACCAGAATCCAATCAAAAGTGTGAGCTTTCTGTCGGACCCAACTTGCAGTGGTATCACCATCAATGTAGGTACTATGGCTAGCGCCAAATCGGTTATGATGTTCATTACGGCGTTGAATGTTCGGATACTGCGCTGTTGAATGTCAGCCATCTAAAACAAAATATCATCTTGGAGTCAATCGTACAAAGTCTATACATTGTGGGTTCGCAATGTCCCATCTTTGTGGCCATGGACATTGGAAAGCAATCAGAAAGACTGCGGTTATTCCCCATACAACAGTGACTACACTTGTTGTGTACATCATCAAGCGGTGCTTGACAACCGGTGTCACTGCCGTAAAAGGAACCAGTAGCGAAAGCTTTGCAGCAACAAGTGTGAATATAAAGAGCATATCTCCAATATACATGGCCTGCAACACTTAGCACTGCGTCCTGTCAATCAGAAAACTGTCTTACCTTCCAAGCTTGCATGATTGCATCTTTTGAATAATCAGACTGCGAGTTTCCAATCGCTTGACCAACAGGACTCAGAAATGTGATAGCCTGTCCTATGTCGAGAATCTTGAAATATGTAAGTCAAGGACATACGTCGTCTGAGGGTTTTGTTCAGTTACTTACAAGCGCCGTTGACAGTATCCCATCGGCTGTTGTGAATGGTCTTGACATGGCCTTCTTCGTAGCAAAGTGTGCCAACACAGACAGTGTTGAAAAGGCCATGAATAGCCATGCGAGGATTTGGATCAGCGGCGCCGCATGGCCATCGCGAAATGCGGGCGTCTTCCCAACGTCCATGGAGACAAGATTTACTTTTCTTTCTTCTGGCTATTGTGGCTTATGTTGTCAGTATGCGAAGACTAGTTTTCATAGGACTTGGCTCTACATAAGAAACTTAGCTCCCCTGGGCCGAACAGTCCATGTTAAAGATTGATACATTTAAAAAAATAATCCTAGAACAGCCTGATTGCAGGCGATGTACGCTTGTGGCTATTTTTCAGGCTGCATTATACCACCGACACATGCCATTCCAACAGGTCTCGACTGTGCATGGGGCATCTTTCGGCGGATGTCAAGGAACTGCCATCTTCCGTAGCCCTGTTCGTAGCCCTGTTCGTATGTTATGGCACTGCCGGGAGCTACCCTGTTTGGGTATAGCGCCTTGGCTGGGATCCTGTACTTAGCTCACCTCCGCAACTACCGGGATAGACAACACTTGTACCATATACTGTTCTGATACCTTGTCCCTTTTGGTGGTCGTCCCGGCCGTGACATCGTATCCGTCTACGTCTAATTACGCCGTGACATTCTCGCCGCAACAACATCTGCACGCGCGGCATGCATGTGTCGCTTTTCATTTCTTTGGAAATCAACCCCTGCTATATGCTGCATATACTCTTCTGCATTTTGTTCCAGCTCGCAAAGCCTTTATCGGCGACAGGCAACTAGTAGTGCGATCCATGTGCGCATTGTCAACACTTAGATCGAACATTAGTTTCAGAATACGATATCGCACAACAAACCTGACTCAAGTGTGAGACCATGACGGCAAATCAAAACTTTGAGTTCCCGTCGACGATTGCAACCAGGATGGCGGGCTCGCGCGGCTTTTTCAACCGGTGCATAGAGTTCGGAGCACTGCAGGGGAGTACCTTCCAATTGAGTAATAATCGACAGACCACCGAGTGGTCGCACTCGAATCCAACGGCGCAACAAATTTCTGTCCTGTCTTAGGTGTAGGAAAGAAAGGCGCGATCGTTGGTTTTTCACGGTGAATAGATCGTCAAAGTTCATCTCATGTTCTAGGTTTGGTACGCGAAACAGTGCTAAGCTACGTAGATGCTACTAAGCTTTGCAAATGGCGTTCGCCCAAGCGATACGTTTCCAAAGATACAGGGACCCCGCTTTGTCGCATCCCGTGTGGCAGCAATTGTGACCTGATTTCGCTGACTTTGCTGAATGCGCTTAGTGAACACCAGGGTAAATTGGGACCAACTCGCCTAAAAGCAACGGGAGGAGCCTGCTAGATCGCCGCGTTGCCTGCATAGAGTTTATACATAAAACGCCATTTCTCTTGGAACTTTTCAGGGAAACCTCGACAAATATCCTTTTCCGTCCACGACCAAGCTGCCGCCATGGAACTTGAAAATCGCATGAAATCTGGAGCAGTCGTCTCGAGCGATGAAGTATTCACTCAAGATGAGCGGGATCTTATGCGATTGGGCAAGAAACCAGTGTTGAAGCGAAATTTTGGATTTATGCAAATCCTTGGGTTCTCTTGCACGGTCTTGGCCACTTGGGAGGGGATCCTTCAGTGAGTCCACAAAGAGGCTACAATTTCAACCGAACGCGGCTTGCTTACCACGTCGTAGAGTCTCTACCCCAAGTTTGTTGAATGGCGGCCCCGCAGGTGTCTTCTGGGGCTATATACTGATATGGATCGGCTCCATCTCAATCTATACAGTCCTGTCCGAGTTGTCGTCCATGGCACCAACCGCGGGCGGTCAGTATCAGTGAGCGTCCCCATCAACACTCGAATTGCCATCATTCACTAACGCATTTACAGCTGGGTCGCATTGTTGGCACCAAGGTCGTGGAGTAAATTCATGAGCTTCATCACTGGATGGGTGTCATTGATTGGCTGGCAGGCTACGACTGCCTCGTCAGCGTACTTGGGCGGAGCTGTCCTGCAGAGTACAATCTTGCTAGTCAAGCCCGAATACACTCCTAAGCCCTACCAAGCAATGCTGATCGGATGGGCATTGCTTGCCTTCGCAGTGATAATCAACACTGTCGGTAGCAAGACCTTGGCCCATTTCGAAGGGTTGATCCTCATTCTCCACGTATTGGGGTTCTTCGCCATCTTGATTCCTATGGTGTATCTTGGAGATCATAGCGATGCTTCAATTCTCACTACTTTTGTCAATTCTGGAGGCTGGTAACTATCTCACCCCGATGATACTTGTGGATCATAGACTAATGTAGTACCTTCACTTCAAAAGGTCAACTCAGACGCTATCTTTCATGGTTGGTCTACCATCCTCCGTTTTCGCTCTCATTGGTAAGTGATCAATGTCTGAATACAGTAAAAGGTGACATGTGAGCTAACACACCCAGGGGTCGACTCATGTGTTCACGTGAGTATTCATCCAGCTGACGTTCGGTCTATTTTGCTAAGAACGATTTACATAGATAGCGGAAGAAGTCAAGAACGCAACAAGGGTGATCCCGCGAGTTATTCAATTTAGTGTACTGCTGAATGGCACTCTGGGATTTGCAATGATCGTTGCATATCTGTTCTGCTTCGGGAATCTAGACGAGCTCATCAAAGAATCTGCCACGCTGGGATATGCTTACTTGTATGTATTTCTGAAGAGCACAGGATCACCTGCTGGGGCGGCAACAATGGCTATGATCATGTGGGTTCTTGGAGTTTGCTGCTTGGTCGGCCTCATGGCCGCAACTTCTCGACAGTTGTGGTCTTTTGCAAGGGATAATGCTGTACCTTTCTCGGCTCAAGTAACAAAGGTGAACACTCCTCTATCAACCCTATCTCTCAAGGCTAAGATTGGTTGAAGCTCCACCCTCGAACACGAATCCCTGTTATCACGATCGGAATAACGGCTGCTATCTCCATGCTTCTATCTACCATCGCACTTGGATCAGTCGTCGCTTTCAGCAACATTGTCAATCTTAGTATCGGTGGCCTCTATGCCTCATACTTCATTGTTTGCACCTTGCTCCTTTGGCGACGGATCCAGGGCATTAGACCCTACAGCGACCGCGCTGTGATGGTCGGCCCAGAAACCCTACAATGGGGACCTTGGAAAGTTCCCGGAGTATTTGGAATAGCCAACAACCTTTTTGCTTGCGGATATTTGTTTGTCATGTGGTTTTTTTCCTTCTGGCCAGGTACAGCTACGGTCACCGTACAGTCGATGAACTTCAGTTCTCTTACATTTGGTGGGACTGTAATTTTAGCCGTCTCATGGTACTTCATTAGCGGTAGGAAGACATATACTGGACCAAAGGTTGAAGTAGATCTAGAGTAGTATAGTAGAAGGGGTTGTAAGAAATTATCAACATAATAATAGAATGCGAGATCGTACTCTTACAATTCAAAGCTTGCTTTGATAATGCTAATAACTTTCCATGTTTGTCACGTGCGCGGTGGGCGACGAGGCAGATGAGGAGACAGATACGTCGGGAACGTCATCTCTTCCGATCCCGAGAGCAGATCCAGAACTGCCGCCATTTCCCTACAACATGGCCATGGTAATCGTAGCAGAAAATTCTGATACATGACAAGTGACCGAAGACCTCCATATCTCCGACGATGGCCATTGTTCGAATGGCTGCGCCAGACAATCACAGCCGACAAGAATATAATTTCGGGTAGCCAGATTGAAATCCTGTACTCTTTCACCTTGATAGCTAAGTCAACATGCTCAAAGACGTCCCACGCGGTCTCCCATGCTTCGTCGGGGATGACCATTTGTTCCGCCAATTGTACTGAACGGATCGCATCGCCACGAGCCAGGCTTGGAAATTCCGCGATGCTTGGAACCATGAGATAGAGCTTTGTAAAGTAGTGCAAGGCGAGTACATCATGGTCTGCTTTTTGGAGGAAGTGACTTTCCCACCGAGCGAGCGCACTGTTGAACACTGCGACAGTATTCGTGAGCTCCGATCTCCACGTGAGCGGCCGGTAAGGGTTCCATGGATCTGGACGAATGTGTACACTTAATGGCCCAAAGTACATCTTGTGGGTTTGTATGATATTCGAGAGAAGCGCAATTGACAATGCTAGAGCATCTTCGCGATTGCCAAGATCATTTGGAATAGCTTGACCATGAAGCAGTGCACCATTGATCATTTGAAATGGATAGCCCGATTGTGGCATGCAGAAAGAAAGCTCGCTGATAGAGTAATTTGGCGCGGTATTGCTTTGCAAGGCGTGAATTGTATCAATCAATAGTACGTAGCATAGAAGTACGCTGTCGCAACTAGTTAGCTTGGATTTAACCCGGACTTACGATTCCGATTCCACTTACCTTTTTCCTACTAGATGTCTTTCGGATACACTCGATGCAGTATATGCAGACGGAGAATCATCCGTCATCCGGATCCGTCTTATGATCTAGTCAAGTTCAGCAGCGATTATTGCGACACAGATCCATACCAACATTCGTGACGTTACTAAGAAGTCCCATCGTTTTTCGCTTGATTATACTTCCTGATGTGATTATACCGTATGTTGACAAAAGGGCTGCCTACTGAATGCTGAGGATATGGGCGGAATCGGAAAAGGCTCTAGTCAGACTTACAGCAATTACTGCCCTCGCGCTACGGGTTTCGCGACGATCGACTTCCATCATAACTAGCCAAATGTGGGAGCCAGCTTGAAAAAGGTGCTCAGGAAAGGCGTATGATGATGCTTCCTGCGTCTTTGCTTGCGAGTCCGAGAAGGCCGAGGAAATACAATTCAACGCCAGCTGCAGATATGGCGGATTTAATCGAGCTGCGATTCCCTCGGGGCTTATCTCGTTGACGTAGACGTGTGTTCCAAAAGTGTCGCAATATTCAAGACACAAGGCTGCATGTTCGTTGTCGGACAGGAGGGCTTGCAGCCCATATAAAGGTATCAGTGGGTATGTATATGGCCGTGAGCCAGCTTCAGCTATAGGCGTTGCAAGGCAAGAATCCAAATCGAGGGAGGCGGCATTGTGACTGACGGCGTCACCCTCACCGTGCATCAGGGCTGTTCGGAAACGTTCTATGGCTGAGATTGATAGTACCTGGTGGGCGTCTACGGCTTCCCAGCGGGTTGGATGTTGCTCAGCAGGCCATACACTTGCTGTTTGGGCCCCCATAATTGACTTTGCTGCAACCGATTTCAGATGATGTGTCAGATCCCAACCTCGCCGGATCTGGACGAACGAAAGGCTATCATAGTCAAAAGATGCGCCACGATATGGTGGCGGGTATGGTTAGCGTACCGTGCAAATCTTTGAAACTGGCCACCCAGTAGAAGAAGCTCGCCGCTTTACGGATCCGGAATTTAGGTGTAGATGCTTATACCTCAAGGTTTATGGCGCTCGTAGACTAGGTATCTCACAAGATGGCACCTCTTTACAGAAATTTAGGCTTAGCTTTGACGTAAACCCACCTACGTCCGATGGCCGTTTTCAAAATTTCATATGGTAGTTGGTGCAGTTCAAGGCATGTGGTGTGTCGGGAGAAGCATGGGGTACATCTCGGCTAGCTGCCGGGACTATGGGGTCAGTGTTCCGGTACGACCCCACCCAAACCTTCATCAATTCTAGCTTTTGCTTCCTCCCCATTACTTACTCCGTCGCCGAAGATGAATGGTCCGGACCGAGCGGAAAAGCAGGTGAGCGATCATCCCGACAATTGATGCTAGTTGCTGAGTATCCACTGTAGTGCGAGTACTGTTCCCGGGTGTTTTCTCGAATAGAGTACCTTGCTAGGCACCGCCGAACACGTTGTTACTTGTTACCCTACCCTAGTAAATACGGGACTGACCTAATCTCTAGATACCGGAGAAAAACTATATTGGTGTAATGTATGCCGCAGATTATTCTAAAGGGCAGATGTTAGAGTAACGCACGAGAAGTCTTGCTCGAAGACCCTGAATCTTGCGTCTACCGCAAAGGAGAACTAACGTGGTCGTAAACGTGTGCGACATGCATGCGTGAGATGTCGTGAGCGAAAAGTTACATGTGATGGGTAGCAGCCCTGTGACTCTTACTGCAAGAGGTCTTAGCAATGCTATTATAAAAGCAATACGGAGCAGATTGCTTTTAGTCTAGAGCATCTATCAGTCATGTCACCCCCTGTATCTGTGAGAGAGGGTAATAGATTGAACTAAGCTCTCCGAGAGCAAGTAGCAGGCACTTCACTAGCAACTTCAGGGCCTCAACATAACTAAGAAACCCACATTCCAGACGTAAATGTTAAGGGATTAGACTCTTTTGGTCTCCAAGACAACATCGCTCTTACTAGTTTTAACTACTTCTTTAATTTGCCTAGACTATAGTCGCAGCCTTTCGAGTACAACTGGCTAGAAGAGATAGATCTGTATAACCCGCGGCTGTTGAAGCGAACAGAATAGTAACTCGAACCTATAAGTCTAATATCGCGACTAACAGCCTACATATCTGAATACTTTAATGTGCGGTCACGATAAGTCTCTCCTTCACGCGACACACGCCGGAAGATGTAGTACTCTACACCACCCAATATTCGCAGCCATAACAGTAACATTATCCAGATCTTTCTAGAGCTTTTGAAATAGCACGTTTCACAGATGTTTAATCTGTATCGTAAAGCTACGCCCAAGACGACAAAACACATAATTAAATACATATTTGTAATAGCAGCGGTAGTTGGCTTATTTAGTGTAGTATCTAGATCTATAGACGTGGCTAAGGTCATATATAATAATGCTTGTCGACTCCTACTAGAGAAGGTTAGTACACCTCTCTGCATAACAATCACTTATTAATATCACATAGTACCATTCGTTGCAGTATACACCTAGAAGCAATTCATCCGCCCTTAAGGTTATAACAACGGTATCTAAGAGACTTCTTATAATATCTATATTTAAGTTGACTTAACTTATAGTTTATCCTATTGAGTGTGTATGGACTATACAGTGGGAATAATAGGTATTACGAGCTAGAGGACGCCTTCTAAGGCAGTCTCTATACAGCAAGTCACTTATTGTACCTTATTTAAGTCTCTTCTTTCGCCTTATATCTCTTAGGCAGTTACAGAATACGCTAAAACCTTAAGTAGTAATATCACTAAATCAGAAGATACAGAAGCAACGAAGTAATAAAGAACTTATGCCTATCCCAATCCCTTGGCTTAACTAACTAGCTATGCGATAGACTACTTAAAGCACTCTACACTCTAGACTCTTACCGTGTTATTATTATGCTAAGACCACATTCGAAAATGTGGCACGACGTAGCACGCTGCGCAACACTAAATAGTAAATTAGCCTAGACTATTCTGGCTACTACTAGGATTATCAATAGTAACGCCTATGTCTATAGACTTTCTTTAACCCTGGTATCATTAGCTTCGCTTGTACCTTATTTATAGTCAGCACTTCGGCCGTCCCGGGATTTTAATGGTAGAGACGTACCTCCTACGCCTACGAACCGTCTTTATAGACCAGATTTCGTAGAATTGGCTACTGACACCTGCGCGCACGTGCAACATTTGGAAAATTGCAAGAGCCTATCGGAACTCTCTCTGTACCATGCGATGTGCATTATGCTCCATGCGAGACTCACGGTTCTGCAGTCCTTGGTGTACACCGACCGCAGCTCGATCCAAGCCGATGACCGGGCCGCTGCACTGTCAAAAAGTATCAACATTTGGTTGAGAAGCCATGAACACGAAATTGCATGTTGGCATGCGGAGAGATTATTGGCCGCCGCGGAGAATATCTTGCCATCCGTACAAGTGGACTCCAGACGAAACATTGAGGTACCCGACAACCAGCAATACTTTCAACACGAAGCGCCTCACGTACCGTCCGCAATATACTACGCAGTGCTGGTTCTGTATATCAAGGCTGCATTCGGCGATTCGGAGCTTTCACCGTCGCAGATCCGAGTGCCAATCTTGAGAGGCGAAAAGATATTGTCTCTCCTTCGAGTACAGGTAGCAAAATCGCTGGCTCGAGCAGTGCGCGAAATCGGCAATCTACATATCAAGCAATAAGGTATTTGCATATTAAGCATGAAACCGAGTTGCAAAGCCATTCAACTCAATGGAATGCAACGACAAAGAGTCAGTCGTGTTAAGCCATTCGCCTCTGCCTGTCTCTGCCAGCCTGTCTCAGCCGTGGAGTCACTACTTTTAGCCAACCATGGGCAATAGCTATAGGCAGTAAAGTGTTGCAGCCTGTATTTAAGCACTGCGATATTCCACTATCTTCGCTCTTTAGACTTCCACTTCATTCATTAGCTTCGTGCTAGGAAGATCTCAAACCTACTTTGGAAGTGCCCACTAACTTCTAACTCAAAGGGCGGACAGACTTGCGTGGCAAGTAAATGCGAATGACCTGAAGTAAGCCGTGAGTTATGCATGCTATCGTCCTTGAGACAGAGGTGCGGGTTTCTTCGACTTCTCGTCCGTTGCATAGAACAAGTTGAAAAACAACAGGAGCGTCAACTCAGTCCCGCAATTTGGAAGCAAAGTCAGGATATCATTGAGCGCCCGACATTTACATCAATTGCTATCCCATCTTTTGATCATTAAAATAATAACGAGTAATAAGAGCATTGGGATAACTGGCTGGTGATATGTCGTGTGTGAGCACCCGTCCCTCGAAAACTTCCGCGCCTTTGACATTCATTCCGGCTGCGTCGCATAGGTTTATTAGACGAGCTCCACTTCCGCAATTACGCATACTAATCGCTTCCCTTACATACCTCACAAAGTCAGGGGACTCAGCAAGCGATTTCTCGGCGCCGGATACGTTACAGGGTTGGCACAGGATGTCAAGTAAGGTCCGGTGAGAGGGAGCCTGCCAACGTCTTGACATAAACAACGCACTCAATGGAGGAGATGCTGTGTTGCGGAACGGTTCCAATGACTTCGATGTTGTCGTCTTTTGGGGTCAAAATACTCAAGAAGTGCCACATAGCGGCATCTACAAGATGCGAGGCAAAACGCCTGTCTCTACTCTCCACGAAAACTATCTTTCACTTCTTCGACGTCCACCTCCGTTCAGTCGCTCACAGACCTGGCGCTAAAGCGTGCTTCGATGAATTTGTAGATGTCATTCAGAAAATCGACGCCGTGAAACGTGCGCAAATACTGAGCAGAGAACATAAGCTGCTCCTTCTAATTGTTACGGAAGCAAGAAATCGAACTTCGTCATGTGTCAGCATAGGTGGTCACTCGGCACCATCGAAATACAGCTCATATCCCCCGATGATGCACCAGGAAAAACCATGGATCCTAAAGAACCGTATTCAATTTGCAAAGATGACATCTAAAAAGTTGAACTAGTGCCCAGAACATCGTACTTGGCGAAGATATCTGTGCAAGCTGCTTGATAGCTTTCCTCGACAATACTTCGTTTGGCTGTAGATCGAACCTTCATCTCGACAGGAAAATCCTTCACGCACAAAACCAAACCTTTATTGTAGCCGGTGGTTATGCTGCTGTCTGGTATAATGGATTTGCCAGTCGAGGGATCGTTTGTGAATTCAATGTCAAACGCCCAGAGCATCTTCGATACGACGGAGAAGAGACTGCGTTCAGCAAGATGTATGCCAGGGCATATTCGTCGACCATTCCCTGCGGCTGGAGTTAGTTATCAGGAGGTACGTTTCCAGCGAGCGAACAAGCCTACCATACGCGTAATGATCGCGCTTCTCTGGGTCCGCAACATTGGCATACTCTGCAGAGAAAGCTGTCCATCCTTGAAATCGATTCGGGTCGAACTTGTCAGGATTTGGGTACCGCTTCTCGTCCTGATGTATTGCCCAAGCGTTGAGAAGTAATGTCGATCCCTTTGGTAGCAGCTGGTCATCTAGCCAGACATCTGCCGCTTTCAGTTCCTGCAACTCGCAAAATGAAAATATTCGTGAAGATGCTAACCTTCGGACAGTTGATGCGGAATACCAATACCCCCGACCGGCCGCCACCTCAGGACTTCTTTGATGATAGACATCACATAGGACAAGCGGCCGACATCTGATATATTAGGTATGCGATCAGACGAAACCTCACGGTCAATCTCGGCCTGTGCTTTCTTTTGTATATCAGGATGCAAAACCATTGCTAAGGCGAAGTTGAACAGCACAGTTGCCGAAGTATCGGAACCACCTTTGATTGCTACTCCCGCATGGTTGGAAATCTCATGGAAAGTTAGGGCACTTTTATCATTTTGATCCAGGATTCGATCGACGATGCTGTTGATGGAGCCGATGCGCTCTCTCCTTCGAAGTACCACCTCGTGTAATCCATCATACAATTCACGCATTGAATCATGTACAACACGCGCTCGGGACTTCCAATTGCCAAGGAATCGCTCTGATACCCAATTCAGGACTGGAAAAACGTCGATGGGTGGAGTGGCACAGATTTGATTGATCGCCGTCCAGTCACGCAATAGCTGCTCGAATTGCAGTATATACGAACTGTTGATATCTGGCCATCGAATGCCGTAAACTGAACAAGATGTTAATCTTTTTCAGGCTATCGTTTTGATGTGGGAGACTCGCTAATGGACAAGACTACGCTGTTCGTGTAGCGTTCGATATGTCGCTTCCAATCGGCCGAGCTTTGCATCATATCGTACAGCATCTGCACAGCTTCGGCCTGCTGGAGCGGCGCGTTCCTGCTAGTGCACACGACTTCCGTCAAATCGGCATGAATCAGCTTGCGCAAGCCGCGCCATTGAGGCGTCGCATCCATCCACAGCAAGTGATCTCCCCCTGTTAGAAGCTGCTGCCGAAGCAGACTGGTTGGCCGGTCACTTGAGACAGCACTCTTTTTGTCCAGCACTTGTTTAACAGCGTGTCGGCCGCTAAGCACAATAGTGTTGCTCGGGCCAACGGTCAACGAATAGACATTGCCATATCGTTTCGCCCATTCGCTCATTCTGTACGTGGGTTAGTTCAGGTTCTATAAGTTTCAATCGCACCATCATTCGTACTGAAGAAACGCTTTGGACGAGGGAATATGAAACAAGTTTCCGAAGAAAGGCGATGTAGGGGGCCCTAGTCACCGTAAGTCGTTCGTGTTTCAATAACTCGACGGCTTCGCTATTCTTGAATTACCATTTGGCATATATCGGCGCTGTCGGCCGATACTAGAACAGGCATAGAAGAATAATGCCAATGGAAGACCGATTGATATGAGAAACAATAACATTATGGTGGCGTTACATCAGCGAGTATTGTTGGTCGGAGCAGCAGATCGGAGAGGTGTATAAGATTCTCGATCAACAGGAATGTCCACTAGTTAGTAGAAGTGAGCCATGCTATATATTGCTGCCATCTTCACTGTCATCCTGGTGGCTTCATGGGCAGAGGCAAGAAAGGACGAGTCTTCGGTGGCTCCATGGGGAGAGGCAGAAAAGAGCTAGTCCTCGGTGACCCCATGGGGAAAGGCAAAACAGGGCTAGTCCTTGGCACCCCATCTCCAAATCACAAGTTGTGGAGCGAGTAGCGTTTCACTAGTAAAGCTAGAAAATTTTCGATGTTTTTGACTGCACAGAGCGGTGCCACGTCAGAGCTCGTCTGAATGGGGTCGCGTGGTCGTTGCAATCAAGGACACCACCTTTAGCCGGACACTACATGTACTTCTGGAATAAGTAATCCTGGGTAAGGGTCTATTTATTTCGTTATCAGGGTCGGTGCAAATACCACCACGAAGTATCAAGCACCCCTTCAGGGGTTAAGAAGTTCTGGGCTAGTCTCTATAACCTCTATGATATGCAGCGGGAACTGGTTTTGGTAGGGTGGATCAGAATGGCGCTAAAGGAAATCAACTACTCATGGGGTTCTGAACATAGCTTGACTCTCCCACTGCTTCCGTGGGCTTGCATGGGGTAGCAGCGTGGACCATGCGGATAGAAATGGTCTCTCAGCGTATTGTATGACCATGTCCTGTCAATAACCGGATCCATCAACGAAGATTTGATTTTTATGATCGGTAAATCCTCAGCTGCTTCACAAGTCTTATAGTCAATATGGCCACCAATGACATGATCAATGCGATCAAAAGCGGGACCGGAAATGCCGACATGACGGACGTCGACTTTCTCGTTGTTGGAACGGGTCCTGCGGGTGGATCCCTTGCCTGCTTCCTAGCCCAGAATGGTAGACTCTGCAACAGCATGTATGCGTGGACTCGTTGCTGACTGAACAGCAGGACTCAAAGGCCTCATGGTCACCAATCGACGCAGCCATGCGGACACGCCTCGGCCACACATCACAAACATGGCGACACTTGGTATGTGAGTACATTATTAGATGATATTGACGTTGATTCTCCAAGATTGTCTTCGCGACATTGGGCTGGACGATGAATGCTACAAGGTAGGGATTAGTAATGATTACATGGCACACACGCGATGGTCCGCGAGCATGGCAGGTGAAGAATACGCGCGCATATACTCATGGGGCAACTCACCCAAGCGCAAAGTAGGTTTGGAAAGTCGCATGAGCACAAAACAAGGGGACTAATACCTGCCCATAGGGCGATTATGAGCTTGCGAGCCCATCTGTCGTGATTGATTTGCCACAGACACAGCTTGAACCAATTCTTACTCGCTACGCTGTTCAAAACGGATTCCATTGTCGGTTTGACACAGAACATGTTTCATTCGAGCAACTTGAGAATGACGGAGGCGTCATTAGTACGCTCAGAGATATGGTCACCAATTACACATATCGCGTGAAATCGAGATATCTTTTCGGCGCCGATGGCGGGCGTAGTCGAATCGCCAAGGCGTTACAGCTCCCATTTACGGAGAAGCCAGGCGGTGGATTTGCCGTCAACCTTCTTGTTGAGGCAGACATGGCGCATTTGATGAAGAGCCGCATAGGTGATTTGCATTGGATTCTGCAGCCCGATCGAGAGACCCCTGATTGGGCATTTCTTTCATGTATCCGTATGGTCAACCCGTGGAATGAATGGGTCGTTGGGTTAGTCATGAGACCAGGGGTAGAAAGGAAAACTAGGAGGCCTGAGGTCTACGTGGGGAGAGTACGAGAGTTGATCGGCGACAATTCTATTGATTTTAAGATCAAGGCCGTGTCGACATGGGCGATCAACGAGACATTTGCAGATGTCTATTCGAAAGGAGATGTGTATTGCCTCGGAGACGCCGTCCATCGCCATCCTCCGAATCATGGACTAGGCTCGAACACTTGCATACAGGATGCTCACAGCCTCGCTTGGAAAGTCGCATATGTTCAACGCGGATGGGCGGGGAAAGCAATATTGTCATCGTATAATGACGAGCGACAGCCTATCGGTAAAGACGTTGTGACTCAGTCAGTAGCATTTCTACATTGTCAGCTTCTCAATATTGACTTTTGCAGTGCCAATGCATCGCTCCGCAACCACGTAAAGATATGGGAGCTTTTTGGCTGCCTTGAACCCGATAGCAAGCAGGGAGCGACTGTTCTAGCTGCACTCAAAGAGAACTTTACCCTCGGCCAGCAAAAACGCAAAGAACTTCAAGAGGCAATCCGACTCACTGATCGAGAAGAGCACGGTCTTGGCATTGAGATGAATCAGCGCTATCGTTCGACAGTAGTCTATCTGGAAGATGAGAAGGACGGGCCGCCTGCTTTTGACAAGGATCCATTGGAGCATTACCATCCGACCACATATCCTGGCTCGCATCTTCCACACGTATGGCTCAGCCACGCAATTCCATCCAAGCCAATATCAACGATTGATCTCGTTGGAAAAGGCTGCTTCACTTTGATCACTGGTATCGGAGGCGACGACTGGCGATGGGCAGCCCAGATGGCGACAAAAACGCTCGGCGTACCACTTGTGGTACGTCAAGTTGGCTTCCGCCAGGACTATGAAGATCGCTATTTTGACTGGGCGAAGCTACGAGGTGTGGCAGAGTCCGGCTGCGTGCTCGTTCGACCGGACTATTTTGTGGTTTGGAGGTGTATGGAATGGGAAGATGGCAAAGCTGAAAAGCTAGTGCATGTTCTTAGAACAGTCTTGTCTCGCTGAGTGCGAAGACGAACTCTTTATGTATGCTGATTTTATTAAGAGCTGATATGTGTATGTACCGTCGTATTCTACTTCTTCTAGATCTAAACGATTGACGATGCTAACGATGGTCACGGGAACGATGAAGATGAGAGAGCTTTGAAGGATATTGTCAGCTTGATTCCAAGATGGCATCACCAGAAAACGCATTTGGTCTCAGCCTTAGATGCTTCTATCATAACAGATCCGGCCACATCAATGCCTCTTTTACCTTCCCTTACACGAACCACTCAATCCATGTCCTAAATCCCTCTCTCCTCCGCCACATCTCTAGCACAAACAAAATGGAAAGCTGGACCTAGAGGAAAAGCAACCTACAAAATTTCACCGCCGCCAACAACTAGATTCCAGGAGATGAGCTGAGCGGAAGTGATGCTATTGCCGGAGGAAATCTTGTCACAAGTGCCACATGACTTTACCAGGTAGAAGCTGTTATAGTTACGAATTATGCCGTCCTGAACTGGGGATAGAGTTTCGGTACTATTGCTAGTTGTGGTCGTCATGAGAGTTGCAGAAGTAGGTGTGTGGCTGATAATGCTAATGCATGCGTATGTATTGGCCTATAGCCCGGTACGGTTGGAGCCAGCGCCGGGTTTCTAGGAGAAGAACTGGGCAGTGGAGATGCTGTTAGTTCTTAGTTGATGCTACACTAAATTACCAACAGCAATATTCTGTGGTGCCCGGATTAAATGAAAATGAAGGAGATGATCCATCACGCTTGATAAGGTGAGATGCTCCTAGGACAAGAGTAGCTTTGAGAACGACGGTGCTAATAAGCAGTCTAGTCCAACAAAAGAGTGACAACATGGTTTGATATCAGAGATCAAAAACGTCGAAGCAAAAGAGTGAGCTGTGTTTGTGCTGTACACAGTATCCGAAGACAGCGTTGGAATACTTATATAACTTACAAGATGATGAAATTATCTCGCTTCATATATATTGTGGCCCCATCGCTGAAAACTTTTGTTTTGTTTATCTCGACACTAGCGCAATATTCTGGGATAGATTTCCACTTGCTTGCGAAACGCGTCATAAAGGTGGTTTCTTCAGCCTTCAGAGGGTCAGTGAGGCACACAACAAAGCTATATGTGCCTTCATGTATGATCCCCAAGCGCTATGACTCTGGGCCAGCAGCTCAGCCAATCGTATTCTCAACGTGGCGGCTATAGCCCCAAGCCTCCAATCCACATCAGTGTAGATAGGCGAGAATGCATATTCAGGATATTCAGCCTTGCACCATTAGTTCCGAAGAATTATTCAAGACAGAAAGGGTCTTAGTGTAATAATAAAAGGTGGCAAGAGGCATAAATGCCAAGGTCACCCGTTTGTAGAACTTGGTACGAAGACAATTTCCATTACTATTCTTGTTACCATTGTAGTCACTATCGTGATACTAGGGTAGTATCACGTTTGTAAGCCTATTACTCTATAATATCCTTGAATCCTTGTCTTTGATAGACTTTCTTTTCTTTATGGATAAAGCCCGGATTGTAACGTGCAAGGAATTAGAAAATGAATCATATTACTCTGATTAAATAATCCTCCTAGACAAAGAGCTGACAAAGATTAAAGCATTAAAACACCATTCAAGGAAAGTAGGACTCTAATATGGTCGGGGCCTAGCCTGATGTATACGGCGGTTTGTATCAATTGCAAAGTCTTCAGGCTTAAGGTTCTCTCTCCATTCCCGGGTTCTCTTAGAGAGCTCTTTCTCGTGCTGAGTAAGCTCACGCTCGTACAGTTCTCGACGCCAATATCTGCCCCAACCTTGAAGATTACCGTCAATGCAGTGGTTCTTCCAACCCCAGGCTGAATCCGCAACGGCCTTCCATATAGCAGTTATATCAACTGCCATTCCCTTTGTAAATAGCATGTGACAGTCTACAGACTCATAAGTAAATTGTAGAGGGGTATTAGACCAATCTCCATCACGTATAGCATCTGCGAAATTGATGTTTGAGATACTACCAGGGACTGAACGGTCAGACGCTAGGGGGTCCATAAGGGTAGCTAGTTGAGTCTTCATGGATCGAGCGGATTCCTCGGGTGTGCTGAAATTTTGAATTGCAAGCTGCATCATAAGGTTCAAGTCGGTCCAAGACATTACTCGTGGTCCACGGGTACCACCAATGGTTTGCATTGGGCCGTAACGTGCACGGCCCCCAATTGCAATAGTCTTGACTTTTTTGATCGTCCGCATGAGGTCCACAAAAACAGAGCAGGATGAAGCACATGTTCCATCTGTGAGGATGATGATATCTTGGGCTTGAAATGGCTGCTGGGTGTAGGATGAATATCTCCCATAGCCATACATACCATTTGTCCAATCTGAATAACTCAAATTAAATCTGAAGAGGCTAGAAAACTGATCGCCGTTGTGGAAACGTGGACCGAAGTAATCCTTCCAGCTCTTGAAATTCTGGCCCTGAGTGTTGGTCATGATGTTGTAATTGTACTCTTGTGCTACCAAGTAATTAGTTGGTATAGTTGAGTTTTCGTAGAGAGGGCTCGGGTATGAAAGCGGGTATTGATCTCCAAGCTTTGAAAGTTTCTCGGTCAAAAGCCTGCTGGCATCGGTTGCATGAAAGCGCATCGCCGCCGAATGATCACGTCCTCTGGGAAATAGGATTTTGAATAGATTGTACGCAAGTGTTTCGCTACCACCATCGTTAGTTTGAAGGTCAATGATCAGCTTCTTTTTTCCAGCTGCTTTAGCTTCAGTAACAAACTTGGCTAAACAATCCTGCGTGACGATTGTGGTATCAGAGCTGTAATCAAATGTTGGTACGGTAAGTACAGCAACATCTGAGTAGAAGCTGTCAAGGTAGAATCCACCATAATTTTGTGTTGACTCAAGGAAGATAGGTGGCGGGTATCCTGGCGGCAGTGGAAATGTGGTTGTCGACGTGGAATTTGACGAAGTGGAGTTTGATGATGTCTGTGAATCAGGGTCATCGTCGGACGTAATTTTCGGAGTGCTGTAATAGGTTTGATACAGGGTTTTTCCATCAGAGATGCCATCAAAGGGAACTGTGAGATAGGCTTTGTTTTCGAACGATCTCTGAGTACCATTCGCAAACCGCAAAATGGTGGTAGGGCCAGGATAGACAGCGTCCATATCCCCGCATGTGTGGAAGTTTCCTTGGTAACCTACGCCTTTCGGTGACATTCCGCCAGCTACAGAAGCGAAGAGAGCATTATAAGTTGCATCTAAATCAGTGCCGTAATCCCACTTTGAATCATTTTCTAATAATGATTGAACATCTTGACCATAAATATGTGTAATTGGCGAAGCCTTGAATGATTTACCACCAAGTGACTCAGCAGTCACATCATCAAAGGAGTAGACACGTGGAAGGTCGTAACCATTTGCAGAAACTGAGACCAGACGAGGAGCCCCACGTCGAAAAGCAAAAGCTGTGCCTATGGAATCGGGGTAGCATTGAAGATGTCCATCATGAGCGAACTGGAAAACTTGGAAAAGTTCCATGCCAAACTTATCTGTTAGCTTCCGCATATTACAGTTGCATAGTAAGGGCAAACTTACTTGATGCTCGTTTGCATAGGCTCCTGAAGCCACCTTTCTCCTGACTTTTTCCAATTCTCCAAATAGATCATAACCAGGTCGAACTTTTCTAGCCCAATCCCATGGTGGGTTCTTGAGAATAAAAGTAGTCGTTTGGAAACTTAGCATTGGCTTGGTGTTATTGACTAAAGCGAGAGCAGCGCTCTGATTGAACGGAACTGAAGTAAGGCAGTCTTGTAAAGTCAGTCTAGCTACGTATCATAAATATACAGCCTTATTTAAAGCTCTTACCATACGCCAGTTTTGCAGGCATAGGTGTATAAGAATCGTTATTCGCTGGATCCGCCTTCCAGACATCACTAAGGTGGGCGACTTGGGCACAAGCACTTGGTCCGGAGGCTCGTTTATGTAATCGGGGATGGTCCAGTGACGCTGGGGGCACACTTGCAGAAAGTCCAGAGGCCACCAAGAGACACGAAACGATGTTAAAAAGAAAGTATTGTATCATGGTTTCGAACTGATCTGACAGTAATGACCGACAATGGTGATTAAGGATTGGATAGAAAAGTAAGGAATGAGCACAATGGTAGGTAAAGACCGACGGGGATGATACATGGAGATGGAATGCCTAGTTGGCGATGACTGAATGTGTGTCCTGAGATCAACCGTGATCTTGGTCATTCTGTAGAATATTTACTACTTATATGATAAAGGTGTAATAAACGCAAGGGCTACTCTGCAAAACTTTAACTTTGCTTATCCGTCGCGTCGCCACCCTCAGCCTAATTTCAGACCGAGGAACGTTGGTATCGAATTTGTTAAGGGTGAAGAGGCCTTCGAACGAGTATGCATTAACCTATGATACAGAAGAAGAAAGATAAGAAGAGTAAAGTTGTCGTACGACATCTCCTACTTTATACCCTCACCCTAAGCTCTTTTCGTACGAAAAGTTCCCGTGACTAAGTATC